ACACGCATGATGTGGGATTCGAACATCGACCTGGCGTATAAGCGATATATACTACAATTCCAGGGACTTTGCAAGAATCAAGTGTCACTTGTCATTATGAAACTTTTCCTTTCAGCACTTCTGTGCGCGTAGGAAATCTTTCCAGATGGCTCCTTTAGTACTTCTGTGTGCCTTGGACACTATTGCAGAAGGCCAAGTGGGATGTTAGCCGATAAACCCGTTACGATCCAAATCGACTTCACGACAAGTTACAATCACTCTGATTTTTTTGCATTTTGGTTGGTAAGGCTTCAGCTCAATTGACACTCTTCTTTTTAAAGCTTACTATCCTTGGTCAACCTTTTACAGGCTGGAGATACCTACAGTACTACCAGACACCAGATACATATATAGTGTATGGGACTTGTAATTTTACCTTCTCATTTTCGATATCATAAGATAACTTTCTTGATCATCAATTTCTCACAAATGTTCATGTTACATTTTAGCAGATAGAGTAAAAATACAACATATGGTATTACTATGACTATTCAAACAGTGTTGCTGGGTTTACAGCAGAACTAATATCTATCAAATCCAGCTCGTGTATAAGCCCAGAAACTGCATCATCATGCTCACCATCTGAGCTACTGTCATCATCGTTGATAATCACAGAATTCTGGCCTTCGATATCGTCCTCGTCCATATCCTCTTCTTCTGTAACCTCTTCTTCCGTAGCTGTATCAATATCACCAGGAATCATAGACAGATGTCCCTCTTTGAGGAGAGTTGTGATATGATCTATCTGATTTTCCCATGTTTTCTTGAGGTCTTCATCTCCAACTTGGCTATGATGTGTCCGAGAAAAAACTTCAAGTAGTCCTTCATTCCACATGAGCTGTAGGTTTGCCATTTTAACAGACCGATTGTTGATGACCACAGTAGCTGCGTTCTGACGAGCCAGAGGAGGTAAACATGAAAGTGTGGGGTGAGAGGTCAGAGTAGTCGCTAGGATTGGGTCAGAGTTTGGTACCGATTTCAAAGAAAGGAGAGTCCTCCAGATTTGATTGTGGCTCGTGATTGCCCAACACATAGCTCGGCGAGCCTCCCAGCCAAGCCGCCTGAGCTCCTCGGTTGCTCGATCAGCATATGCAACTTGCTGCATGCCATGTCTCGTCTTTGGATCTACTGCCCAAGGTGCTTCCAGTTTTGTGAAGAGAGAGTCGTTCCAGAAGGGATGATCTGCTTGGATATGAATTAGATCGTTATAATCAATATTTTCTGGGAGCTGATGGTGTGGATATTCCGCGTGGTATTCCGCCCAACGAGTTTGATATGTTTCAACAACTTTCTTAAGCTGTGTTACATGCTTCCGAAGTGCAACAAGCAAATTGGTCTTTCCCTTATGTCCTAGTTGGAAGGGAGAGTAGTAAGCTTCGCACTTGTATTGAATTTCGTTCCAATTTGTGACTTACCTAGATTTGATTCATGTCCATCTGTGCGACTCTGTTGGAGTGGTCGCTTTTCCTCACATATGGCAATATACTTCAGCCCAACTTCGTGCTTACTGTACCAGAGCTTGAGGAATGCTTTCTGCTCGTTTTCTAATCCCAGAACATTTGCAGTGCCTACTTTTGCCGCCTGCTTATCAATTCGCTCTTTCAGATCAGCTGTGGACCAAAGTCGAGCAAGAACCTGTTCAGGTGTAAGCATTGGCTTTAACCTGCCAAAAAAACAACACTGTCAATAATTATAAATCCTAGTATATATGAATCGACTTACCACTCAGCTTCTAGTTCATCTTGTAAAGATAATAGACGACCAAGTTCTAACTGTTGCTTCAACAAGACTGCCTGCTTACTTGTGTATGCTTCGCGCTCGGAAGCCCACTGCCCACGGAAAAAATCGGCTGAATACTTGTTTCCAGGTAAGGCTGGGTTGTCCATATCAAAGAGGGAATTCAAAGCGGATTGGGCTTCTCTAGAGACCTTCACAGCATTTTGAAATCGTTTTTGAAGCCATGTTCCTATTGTATCAAGCCCACATCAGATAAGTATAGACGTTATAGAATTAAATTTAATCTTACCAGCTCCTTCGTTAACCTTGGAAGAATAAAATACAGCGCGCCAATGGATAGCCAGTATCCGATGAAGCCTAGTGGAGATGCGAAGGGGGGCAACGAGAGCGGATAAAAATGACCAAAGCCTCTCGAGGCCCTCACCATCGGAAAGCCCCCAATACTCGTTGAAGCGAGGGTGGTACATAATTTGACAGGCCCACTGATGCACGTATGCGTGGAATACGGAAGTCCCAAACTTCATCTTCTTGATATCCTCGTCATGAAATAGCCCACGCTGAAATTAAAAATTCAATCACTTTTGATTAGTTGCTAGCTGGTGAGTTATAAGCCGTGATGAGACAAAGACTGACCTTTGCTATATGTACATCAAGGTGGCAGCCGATATCATAGAGTACACCAATAAACTTGTCAGGGTACAGTTCTCGAAGCTGTTTGAGAATTCCCACAGGGTAATAGAGTCTAAACGTAAAGGCACATTAGGTCTTGGCTTGTTTTTTTGCTTGGTACGTGATTCAAAGCTCACTTTTCACCACTCTGATAGATATTCACAAATTGAAGAGGAACATCATGACGACATGCACTTGCAAATAGACCTGTATCATCACATCTGTCCCATGATGTGCTATTTCGAACATCGTTGGCGGCGGTATGGGAATCAGAACACGAAGTCTAAATTCAAAGACACCATCAGTGTTGATGGAATTGAGATGAAACAGAAAAAAAGATACACACCTTAAGATTATTGGCTTGATTGTCGGTTTCTCGACAAGCAACAACGTCTTTTTCAAGCTTGCTAGGTGGAATGAAGAAGTGAGGATATTGGTCGTCTTGAAGCGAGTCTTTGCTGGCGTGAGACTGGTGGCGGTGTTGAAAATTACCGTCCATTGCAATGATAAAGTCAGGTTCGTTGGGAGACACCTTGACTTCTCCATCTGCTGGACCAAAGCACCGAGGACAACGAGCAGCAGAGATATCTAGGGGGGATAGTTGAAGGCCTTCTTCGTATAGAGTTTGTTGACCAACGAGAATTCGACGGTAGGCGTCAATTGCTTGAGTGAAAGGACGTCTGAGATTGTGATTGACATTCTTCTGGTGTCTTCCCTTGATTTGTTCGGGTGTCAATCTTGAATGACATTGTTCGTCCAAAAAGGACATCAGTGTGTCAATAAAGCCTGAAGTTGATACTGATAGGTGGTTCCAGAGGTGATGGTGGAATTGGACTAGCCGGACAGAGAAGGCGGTGCGAGGAAACTGAGGTGAGCCAGCTATGTAACCAAGGTGAAGAAGATGTATCACATCGGGTAGACAACCACAGAATGTGACTTGACGTCTTCTAGTGTGACCTAAGCCAATGTGCAAAGTGATAGTCAATAAACTAGAACGGAACAGAACAAAAATAACTACTTACTGAGAAGGTCAATCAGGTCAACTCGTTGCCGTCGAAGTTTGTCAGAAGGACACTTGCATTGAACCTCATTGGACAAATATGAGTATGGCTTTGTCCAATTACATGTAGAGTATTGAAGGTGGAGATATGTTGCCGTCAGTTGGGTTTCAAGTGCCTTCCACTTTTGTTGCCGCCTGGCTCGGGCTTCAGCATGTCGAAGTGATTTTTGATGGCTAGCATATTGGTCGCCGGAGAAGTCTGTGATTTCTTCATGGATACAATCATTTGTGTCTTCCCACCCATCATTGTCATCTTCTGTGGCAGAGGGAAGCAGGGGTGTTGGACGTTCGAGGAAACCAAGCTCTTGAGCAATCCTCAAAGCTTCAGGGCGGGTCATACCTGGTGGTGCGGTGTTGTTTTGTCGTTGACGGGTTCGTCGGTTGCCAAACATATCAGCATCATACCCAGAAAGACGGTAATCGTTACGTGGCATATTGGTGCGTTGAGATTCAAGTTGTAGTGGTAATTCAATTGAGGTGGAGGTGGATGAGGACAAGTCCGGGGCAATACATATGTAGTTCAGGACTCAGTGAGTCAGGGCACAGGGGCAGGGCTACGGCTACGCTACATATACGTTGTGTACACTATGTCATGCTGTGTATGTAGTGTACATGTGCCATAGGGCTCTTAAGCCTTATCTGGCTAAGTTGTATGTATGAAATTTCAAAAAACTTCTTGGTAAGTGTATATTTGGGGTACCGAGATGGGGAGATGCGTGAGATGGGTCGAGATGAGAGGGTTGATGCTGGAAGCAGCAGTATGGTACATTCTATTCACTGCTTCAAGTGGTTGAATAAGGTACCCCAAGGTGTCCTTTGGTCCAGAGAACCATTGCCTGAAGGGAAAAGCTGTAGAGGCCTTTTAAGGCGCTCCCAACCCTGAGTAAGGAGTTTGCACAAGTTTGGCATAAGTCCCTCGCTCGACCGTCGATGCCTCGCGAGTAGGCGCGAGCGTGGGACTTTGATAAGTTTATCACTCCCCATCACTCCCCATCACTCCCCAGTACCGAACCACCTTCATCATCTGGTTTACTTATCTTACATCATACTTCAAACATCTTCTGGGTGAAGAAAATGATTTCTTGAGATTTCCAACTTGATGGAAGTCCATCAAAGAAAACTTTTCACACTTGCACCTGAAAACTTGGTGATTCAAAACAAATTATTGAATCAAATGAATAAAATTGATACATACATACCTTAAACTCTTATCTTCTGATGCAAATCACAAACAGTCACCTCCATTTCCATTTTTCACATCTTGGCATTTTCAAACCCATAAAACTTTACAACAATCTTTGAGAATATCATGCTTGTATGTAAACAGACCAAAGCCAACCCATTTTGTGGAAATGAGTTCAAGTAAAACTTACTAATGCTTAAATGGAAAACACTAAATCAGAGAATGTGGTGTTTGGGTGAAAATCCTAGGCTGAATGCCTAGGGTTGATAATTTCTTGAACAATGATAACCACAAAAAACCCCCTCTCCGACCCGCCTATGAAACAGGTAGTCTAAGAGTGGTGAAGAAAGGAGAGGGAATTAAAGAAACAGAAGGTCAGCATCCAATCATCATTATTCATCCCAAACCAGGCTAAAACACCATTAACCAACACAAAAAGGCTTGAAAAGATTGCCATTAACCAAAGGATTAGGTACAAAGAAGATACCATTAACTGATCCAATGCATACCCAAGGCACAAAAGCCATGAACCGCGGTATCAAAAGAAACAAAAGCATGAAAGCTACCGTACAAAAGAAACTCAACAGCAAGGCTCATATCTTATTTTAAGAAAAAGGCACGGTTGCTCCGATGTGCGATGAATGCCCAATAACATTGTTTTTGTTCTTTGGCAAATGCAATGCCATGTGACCACGGACATAGATCAAGAACGCATCGGTTGACCAACGCCCCACACTTTTGATATTGTCCATGGAATAGCCAGCTTGAGCTAACGCTGTTGCACCGCTGGAACATAAAGAGTGAACAGAAAAACTTTTGTTGAAAAACATATGAAACCGGGATAAAAACCATGAGCGAGATGGTTGAGAACCATTTGAGGTTAAGGACAGAGGAGTTGATGAAATAAAATTGGTGTCCTGAGCTTGCAAATAAGATTTGAGGATTTTTATTGGGCATGCTGAAGTGTTCTCAAAGTTTCTGATAATGACCTCAGTACCTAAGAATTTAGAATCACTTTTAGAGTACAGTAAATGATAACAAGCAAAATTTTTGCATAATGAAAATTTTAAGGAACTTCTGAGAATGGTTTTTCTGGAATCCAGAATGGTCAGCTCCCCTAGTCTATGTAAACCAGCAGAGCCCATTGCCAAAATTGCCAAGAACAGCTTTTTGTCAAAGGAGGAAGAAGATTTTTCCACTACACATTCAATTTGCTTCACCGTGAGGGGGTTCTTCCTTTCCACCGGATTGGAATACTCCAATAAACAATGTTTCATGATCTTTCTCACATCTGGGTGTCTTGATTCACATATAACCAAAGGAAAGAGAAGATTAAAAATATGAGCTAAACCAACTAAGTATGCTTGAACCAAACGGGGTGAAATTTTGTGGCTTGTGTACAAGACGTAATCTGATAAATTTCAAACATTAGAATGAAAGGTTGATGAAATTGGAGACAAAATTCTGTAAAGCTTCTAAAACCACATTTGTACTTGATCAACAAAGACTTGCAAACAGATTCTTGTTTGTCTTGAGATGAAAAAACCCAAATCTGTTCTATTGTAATGTTCTTCAAAGCACCATTCTTTTTGATTGATCTCCCCATGAATGAAAGGAAGCGTCAAAAGATGATAAATTAGAATCTTTACCACCACTAGATAAAGATGGATCAATGTCAAAGAAGGAAATGGAAACAGTGTCAATTGATTTGCAAAGCTTAGCTGATTCTTTGGGAGAGAGGATTGAATTTTGTCTTGAAAGACTATCAGCCTTCTTATTGAAATGTTTTGAAATGTGCATGATGTAAAGTTCTGGTTCAAATATCTTCAAAGCGCGTGGCTATGCCGATTAGGAATGGTACCTGGGGTAATCAGGTCAGATGTAAGTATATCGGCAAACAGGCCTCTTAAGCTTCAAAGAGCTATACAAAAGAACAAACCTGGGGTAATGAGTGAAGATGTAAGTATATCGGCAAACAGGCCTCTTAAGCTTCATAGAGCTATACGAAAGAACAGACCTGTGCACAAGCAACAGGATACAATGACAAAGTCGAGTCAGAAAAAGATGAGTAATAATAAATAGATTCTTTTTGATCATCAACAATGCATACCTGGGGTAATCAGGTTAGATGTAAGTATATCGGCAAACAGGCCTCTTAAGCTTCAAAGAGCTATACAAAAGAACAAACCTAGACGCAACACAAGAGTTAGTGAGAATAGAGAAAAAGAAAAATAGAGAAAGATAAAGCACACCTGTGCACAAGCAACAGGATACAATGACAAAGTCGAGTCAGAAAAAGATGAGTAATAATAAATCTAATAGTTGTAAATAAAGGTATTGTTAGGATGTAGTCAACAAAAGTACATAAAGAAAACAGTTACAGATTCTTTTCGATGAAGGGAAAAGAATCTGAGTGATGGACAGACTTGGACTATAAGTATTTCGAACAGCACACACAACACAAATGAAAAAGAAATGAACACTCAAGTCACAAACAACTTATTCCCAAAAGAGACACAATGAAACCCTTAACAATCATTTAATAACCTTCACACAGCTACTCATATCTTAACTCGTCACATTCATCTCGATTTGTAAACACTAGCTCATAATATCCTTAATAATGTAACCGTATTAGATGATTTGTTCTTGAATTTGAATAATTTGTTATTGATTTGAAAACCATATGACACCGGAAGTCCTTGATCTAAAGTATCACAACACATGACTCTTATGTCAGAACCGGCTTTCAGGAGTCAAATGACACGATGTCTGAATAACGCTCTGATGATCTTGTTGGGGCAGTGAGAGCTGAACAGGTCAAAAACCAGATGTGAATTGGTGTAAATGAGAATCCTTTTACTACCGTTACCAATTCCTATGTCCACTGCAGAGATCCCACCTGGCAACTCTGTCCAGAAGATGTTACGGTCAGGTGGAGGAAGGATGAAATACCACCCAAGACGTGAGCCAGGCTCCCAAATCCCAAAGCCTGTCATGCAAGCATCTGTGAACAAGACCCCGTCAGCTTTATGTAGACCCCCTCTTAAAGACGTCAACACCTGGACACCGTCTGAACTGCTGAAATATTCTATCAACCAAAGAATATCTTGTTGCTTCTCTTTTTTCAGAGGAATGTGGAGACATTTGATTTCTTTACCGCTTATTTTCTTGTAAAGACTTTGCAGTGCAAATCGGCCCTAAGGCATTGAGTTGCAAGCCCAAGATGCTGAACCAAGGATTTCTTGCCATTCTGTCAAAGAGTGAGTCGGGGTCCTGACAAAATCCTTTAATTGTTGAAGTAATTTCTCTTTCTACTTTTCTCCAGATACATCAACATCTTCTCAGAATCCACAATGTGGCCAATGATCTCAATTACCCTACCCTGAATCTGTTTCTTCCAAATCCAAGGAATCCCCAGAACGTCGAAAAGATTGGGTAATTTTGCTTGAGGTAAAGGAATCCAGTCTAACTTAACTAAGTCCAAATCTCGTGCCTCTCATTTGAAAGTTTGCGGCCGAGGCACGAGGGACTTATATGTAGTGTGACTTTTCTTGGTGACAAGCACATCAGGCTTTTAGTGGGAGGACCTTATTGTATTGAAAACTTTTCTTTATTTGATTACAACATTGTCTGTTGTTCACATATGTTAGACTCGAGCTTCTTCCACAACTTCTCTTCTTTTACTTTTTTTTATTTGTAATCCCATCAAAAAGTTTCCATTGAGCTCAAAAGAGCGTCTTTTGAAATTTCGATTGCTGCGAGTTACCCAAAAGATCACTGTATGTAATGAGACCCTGTGAACCTTCCAATCGAAAAGCTTGAGAAAGCTTGATGCTTTTCATGCAGACAGCTTGATATCATATGCTGTCTGATGAGAAGCGTATTTACTATTGACTGAAAGCATTTGAATCAAGCCTTTAACTTTGGCAATATCTTGTGCCCAATCGATTCAAACCCCTTTCCGAGAAACCAAATGGATTCCTCAGCAGCTCAGCCTCAAAACCAACCTCGGAGCCGTCCCCAAAACCGTACGATAGCAATCTGCGAATACATAAACGGTCTTGGAATGAATTCCAAGTTGTTCATTCAGAATCTTCTTGATTCGACTACTCCTGGAATCCCTGAAAGACGACAGTTTTGGGGGACAGAAACTGGTTGGGATTCGACCAAGAATGTGATCTTAAGCATCAAGCGGCGAGTTACTGATAATGACAAGAAGACTGGTACTCGCATTTGGTCTGACTTTGT